AGGAGAGGAGGGAAAGGAGGGAGAGGGGCTGCCGGGAGAAGGGCATGTTCCATGTTGGGGAAGAAGGGACCTGCGCTCAGAGTGCTGGGATGCCGCGTGCAGGGAGAAGTGCAGAGAGCCTGTGTGCCCAGCAGAGACTTGGCGGCCTTGAGCGGGAGCCACTTCCAGTGGGGTCCGAGGGCGGGGGCGGGGCCCAGAGGGGGCGGGGCTGGCGCACAGGCTGACTTCTCCCTGTGAAATAGGCGCTGGCAAGGGCTGCACTGTGGGGAGAACCCCAGGAACTTGCTAATCCTCCCTTTGTCCTTCTGTGCTGAGGGAAGCCTAGACCTTCCCTGTTTGTCTCCATTATTTCCTCGGCTGGGACTGGACTGGTGCCAGGTGAGCAGGTGAGCCGGGTCAGCCCAGCAGGTGCAGAGGGGCAGAGCCCGCCGCGCAGACGCGTGGGTTTACCGGGGCCTCTCCACTCCCAGTGCGCCTGACCTCGAAGCCCCCACCCCGAGCCCTGAGCCCGAACCCCTGCTGCTGAGTGGAGGACACTCCCCACCCCCCCCCCCCCCCCCTCCGCCCACAGGTAGGGCCCCATGCCTCCCAGCCAAGCCTGGGAGATGCACCTGCCCGTCCCTCCCCATCCCGCGCCTCTCCGTGTTGTAGGGCTCTCCCAGGGGTCACCGCCTGCAGGCCCGGGGACTTCTGTGCCTGTCCTGCTGGCCCCATCTGGTCCCCACACCCGCAGGCCTGCCTGGGCCTCCTCAGGGGAGACCAGAAGCAGATTAGAGTGGCACCTACTCTGTGGCCACTTAGGAACTTCCTAATTGGATTAAGAAGTCGTATCGTTGTGCAGGAAAGGGGAGCTAAGCAGCCTTTTCCTGTCCAGAGGGGAATTCAGAGGTAGCAGGCTGTGACCAGTGTGTGCACGAACCGCCGCTGGACCCTCCAGAAGGACAGCACCGGGCAGGACTGTCTGGGCGACTCTTTATTAACAGCACATTCGGAAGAAGATAAGGCAAGTAGGCGGTATTTTCATAATGCTGCTAGCGTTTCCCCAGGGTGGAGCCAGGGGACCAGCTCCCACGCCATGTCCCTCCTGACTCCACGCACAAGCAGGGCGGGGTGACGTCCGGACGGCAGACAGCAGGTTCTGTCCTTGACCATGATCGGACCCGGGCCCCTGCATTTGTGCTCGCTTCAGGTGGCTAAGCCAGAGTCAACTCCCTTGAGCAGCTGGGACGCTCCCTGTCTGAGAGCAGGCTGCTCAGGGTTTGGGCTAGGACACGCGGGTACCCGGGCGAGTCACGTGGTGGAGTGGGGTCTTCTCGGCCCCTCCGCGATGCATCCTGTCTTCCGTTTTACTCCGGGGACACGGGCTGCTCTTGGGTCAACGTCACCGCTGCAATTTTAAACCTGAAGTTGCTTTAAATATTCCCAGCAGGGGCCTTGTGTCCTTGGAGACGAACTTCACGCATGGGCAGCTGTTAAAATACCTCCCTGCGTTGTTTCCCTGGTTGAATATTGCTACAAACGGGAAAGTGTGTAAAAGTAGACTAGGTAACAGATTTCAGAGTTTCTTTGAGCTTACCAAGGGTTAAGTGACTCGCTGGCGTTTAATATCATGATATGCAAATCTTCTACTTTGAAATCTGGAAGTTCTATCTCAAAAAGCATCTTTATTTTCAGCTATAATCATCTGTTTAAGTAAATGTTCCCGTAATTGCAAGGTCCAGATAAAAAGTTTCTCTGTGGAGGCCTAGTGCTCAGCTGCTTGTCTTCAGGGGGATCCGTTATGACTTCAGAGGACCGAAAAGCAGAGCCACTGTGAGGAAGAAAAGAGCCGTCAGCCCAGAGACCAGGTACAAAATGAAAGGCTATTTAAGTGCCCGTAGCGCCTCCCGAAAGACCCGACTGCAGCCAGCAAGGCTGGGCGAGGGTGAGGGCCTCAGTGCACAGGCTCACGGCTTCTCTGGGCCACGGGCCAGGGGGCCACGACCTGGAACGCGGGCCATACGACGTCAGGCGCACGTGCGTCTGGGCTGCAGCTCTCCCCGAAACCAGAGGCTTTCGCCCTTGGTCTCTGCTGGAGTGAAGTGGGAATTCTGGGTGAGATTGTGATCGAGTTGGGCTGGGACGGGCCTGGACCCCCGGCTTCTGCCAAGCTTCCCACGGCACCACGGCTCATCCTAGCAAACTAGAGCCTCCACCGTGGACTGCGACCTCAGGGCGGGCTGTTTCCCAGGGACGGATGTACGGCTGGACAAGCAACTCAGTGTTACCCATAACCGGCTCACGGATTTCCAGTTGGCTGAAGCCCTTTATAGCGCATCATAGCGGGCTTCCTCCAGAGTTCAAAGTGCGCCTGGCCTCGAAGCCCCCACCCCGAGCCCTGAGCCCGAAAGGAAAGGAGTGGCCAGGCCCTGACACCCATCCCGCTTGCCACTTCGCTCCTCGCTGGTACGTGGTCATTCCCGTGAGGCGTCGGCCCCCTGCCCAGCCCTTGGGCTGACCCAAGCTCCGTTCCTCTGAGAGGAGGAAATGTACAGCCTGGGAGTACAGGGTACCCTTCCTCCTGGGGGTGAGAGAATGTCCTGGCATCGAGATGACCAGAGAACACCTCGCACTTTGCTCTTCAGGGACCCAGTGTCCCCCCTCTATTTGGCTTGAGGATCATCTCCCAGGTGGGCATTGCGGGGGCTCCAGCCACATACCCCAAGTGTAGTTACTATCGGGAGTGTTTTTAAAGGGGAAGGAAGTCATTTACTCTGAAAGAATGACAGATCTTCCCAAACCCGCCTGGATTTCCTCCAAAGGGTTTTGTTGTATCAGCACTGCCTCCCGTGCATGCGAATCAGCAGTTCATTTTCCTACAAGGGATCCTCCAGGCCCTCCCTCCACTGCCTAATCGAGGCAAAGCTGCTGGGAGGAGAGGTTGATGGGGGGCTGGGAAGGGGCTGCCGGGGACAGTGCGTGGTGGGACCTTACAGCCACTTCCAGGCCCGACTCCCCACAGCCCTGAAGGTCTGCAAGGTGGAGCCTTAAGCAAGCAGCAGCCGATAAGCCACAGGTCCCTGTCCCCCGGGGCCAGCGCTCTGTCCCGAGGGAGGCTGTGTAAACCGCGGACTTACAGAGATGAGGTCCAGCTGTATGGTCCCGGTATTCTCGGGGTCCAGCTGCTTAAAAATCCCTGCAGAGGAAGAAAGGCCGACCCCGTGAGTAAGCGGAGCAGAGACTGCACTGTCCTCCTCCCCGTTCGTCCCAAGCTATTATTCCTGCCCTCCGTCCCTGCACTGGAGAAGGATCTTCACGGTCAACTGCAGACACATCCTGGTTCAGGTGACCTCACCCGAGGCAAAGGGCAGCTGCCTTCACCCCGACAGGACTGAAATGGGTCTTTCCCCAAAGGGCCACTTACTGAACAGTGTTTCCAGTCGAACCAGACAGCGGATGAAATTGTCGAAGTCGATGATGAGCTCATCGTCCGCAAAGCGAGCAACGATGACCTGGTGGAGCTGACGGGGCAGCTTGAAGCCTGTGGTGGGATGAACAAGTGCACGGCCTGGGTGTGAGCGTCAGACGGCGCCCCCGCACCTGCTCCCATGCCCCCGCACCTGCACCTGCTCCCGTGACCCCGCACCTGCTCCCGTGCCATGGACGGACGCATGGAGGTGGCCCTTCAAATGACAACAACTGCCTTTGTCCCTGGGCGCTCTCCAAGGGACTGTTGTGCTTTGTAAAGCTGGTGCCTCCTGCCCTCGCTCCTGATTCCAGTTTGCTCGCCTGGCCCTGCCTGTCTCCTCACCGGCTGACACAAGGCTGTCCAGCCCCACTGCTTTGCCCTGATGCTTGAACTTCCTCTCCTGTCTCTCGCTCTGAATCACCTTGGACACTAGACCCTGCTGGATGCATGTGGCAGAAACTGTTCATTGTAAACTAGCATTATTTCCCGCCCTTTTCACAGCAGCAGAATTTCTAATAGGCCATGGCTGCCTGAAAGTGAGACCACGTTTCCCGCCTCCCTTGCAGCCCGCAGAGGGCCCGTGACTAAGCCCTGCCATTGGGACGTGTGCCCTGAAAGGTAAGGAGCCTGTCTTTCTCTGCTGTCCACCTGTGGCCAGAACGTCGTGGTGGCAAGCCAGTGTGGCCAGCGTGGTCCCGCGGGACTTAGACCATTTGGGAGAAAAAAATGGTTGTTTGGGGTCTCTGTGGCAGGATTACATCCCAACCAGTAGAGTGGAGAACCCCATGTTGTATGCGAGGGACTTACCCAAGGGGGGCGCCCAGTGTGCTGAGAACCGGCTCTGCCCGCCCGACCTGCCAGGCTCTCGGAAGGAAACTTGGACCCAAGAAAGCACGGCGGGCGTTTTACTTTACCAGTTAGCTTTTAAAAGGGGGATGGAAAGGATGTTTGTGCTGAGCCAACACTGCTTCATTTAACGGGAAGTAAGTGCTCACACATTCTACACGTATAAAGTCCTTACCAGCTTCCTCTAACGCTTTCCGCATCTCATAGGAGTTCATGGTGCCCGACTGGTCCACGTCGATTTCCCGGTAAATTTTCTGGAACAAGCGAAACAGTTACAAGGACCGTAAGGCAAAGCCAGCAGGTGACGAGTTAGCGCGTGCCGAACGGAGTGGTCACGAAGCTTCCCAGCTCTGCCTCTCGTCTGGCCTTGGAACGTCACCCACGTTTCTGCCTTAAATAGCTAACGGTGTCCGCCTCTCTCCGCGGGCTGGCTTGCACATGTGCCTGTTGGTCCACTAGCCAGACACCGTGGGCCGGTGTTGTGATGTCACTTTTGTGCCCGAGCTGTCAAAGTCCAAAGGACAAAAGGTACACAGCCTCTTGAGGACACTGTCAGGGCGGCTGGAAGGTGACCCGTTTCTGGCCACTAGCAGGGGAGGGCGGGGAGCAGACCACATCCCTTGCACAGGCTCATCTTTGCTGTTCGCACTGCCCATCCTGCCTCTGGGGGTCAAGTCCCCACCCCTGGGGATGTCCTTCTGCCCCCATGGAGGGGTGTCCCCGCACCCATGTCCCTGACAGCCCCATGCGCCCCGCCTTCTGCCCCCCGGGCGCCCACCTGGTACTTCTGGATCTTTGTCCAGAGAACGTAGAACTCCTTCAGCCCTAGCTTCCCGCTACCATCTGACTGCCTGCTGTTAAGGACCACCCCTGCGGTGCATCCGTGTGGACGCCCTGTCACCGGATGGCGGCGCCCAGCGCGTATTTACAGGGAGCACCAGCTGAAGCACCTTGCACTGCACTCGGGCCAGAGCTGCATCTATGGGCGGGCGGAGGGCCTGGCGGGGGCCCCAAGCCTGTGGGGAAGGAGACGTCGGTGACGCGCAGAGGCTCCTTGCTGATTCTGGGAGTATTTCTAGGGCCTCGTGTGCAGACAGGAGGTACTGTGAGCCCCCAGGACTAAACTTCCAGCAGCTCAGACCAACCCCTGCCCCCAACGCAGCGAGGCGGGTGGGTGGGTGGCCGGGGAAGGAGATGCCTACGGCAGGCGGCCCCGTGCCTGCAGATAGAGAAAAAAACCACGACCAGAGAAAAACAGATTCACAGGACGGTCGGGGGATGTTTTCCACGGCCCCTCAGGAAACCAGCCGGAGCTGCTGGGGCCCAGCCGGGCAGGCGTCCCCCACTGGCTTGTGCAGGGGGCTAGGGCTTCTCGTGCTCCCCACGGGGGTTCTGAGCAGGACGGGCAGGGGCCCAAATGCCCCGTCTGTACTCTGCAGCACCGAAGGATACGTCCAGCATGTCCACCATGATTTTGCAGGTCTCGATGCTGAAGCCGTCCGACTTGATGTCCTGGCCTAGAAGACAAAGTAAGAGTGATGGGAAAATCCCTGGGGCCGTGCTGTCCCGAGGCCCCCCCCCGCCGCCGGACAGAAACGCATGTCTGTGCTTCCAGGACTGGGGTCACTTCACCTACTTCCCGTGTCACAGGGCTCGTGGGGTCAGAGGGACAGAGCAGTGTGTGTATTTGCCATGTCAGCCTGTGTCCCCGCGGACCGAGAAGCCCCAGGACCAGCCTGAACTCCACTAGGAGAGGAGGCTACAGGGGTGGCTGGTGGGTGGCAGGAGACCCTGGTCCCAAGTGGGGTTCTGGTTCCCCACAGAGCACGAGAGACCCATCCTTTGTCACGTCCTTGCAAACACTGTGATGTAGCCTGTCTCAGAGCTGCCCTTGCGGGCACAGAACTCTTTGGACCCAGGCGGAGGCCGGGGTCAGCCGGCGGCTGGGGAGGCTGAGTCCCCCGGGGCCTGGCTCTTCCCCGCCCGCCCAGCCTCCATCTGTGCAGGAACAAGGAGGCTTTGATGGTCGCACGCCTGAACAGCTCTGTGACTTCACCCGTGCCTGGCAGCCTCCAGGCCAAACACCACCTCTTGTCCTCGCCCGGCCTGCCTGGGAGGAACTGGTTCTCTGGGGACCCTGTGCCAGGCACGCTGCGCACGCGCTCTGGGGTGGACAACCTGGCCAGCCCGGCCCTTCTAGAGAATTTGCTTCTGTGTCGGGGGTTAGGCCGGCTTCTAGGTCCCAGGCCCCACTCCAGCTTTGCTCGTTCTTCCAGGAGGCCCGGCAGCCGCCTCCACGGCCCCGGAGTTGCTGGCCTGGCTCATGGCTCAAGCAACACGTCAGACGAGGCTCCCTGGCCCGCACACCGGGAGACACTCGTGAACTGTTCCTGTGGTTTGAGCCTGAGACGGGCTGTCTGTCTTTCCACCCCAGCAGCGACCCTGCTGAACAGCCGGGGTTCAGGGCCGGCTCCACCCTCCTTACCTGCCGCTCCTCGGAGGCCGCCCCCTGGCGCCCTCACAGAAGTTAGGTAGCGATCTACCCACGTTACAGGCGAGGAGAGAGCCCACCAGTGGTGGCAGCTCGGCTGCGACCTCTGACCTCTGCCTGGACACCTTTGTTCTTTGTTTCTGCCTGGTGCGGGGCGGTGGGCACAGGTGCTGAGGCGGGAGTGGGTGGCGGAAGGGCGCGGGGACCAGGGCCCCGCCAGGAGGGCACTTACGCTTGGCCAACACTCTCCTCAGGATGGTCTGCAGCTCAAAGGCAGAAATCTCTGCGTCCTGTGGACACGAAGCAGAGTGTGGTTACCCCAGGGCCGCGGGACCGTGGAGGCCCACCCCAGGTCAGGTGCAGGAGGCTAAGCCCCCAGACCCGCCTGTGAGCGGCATGTGCACACCAGCTCGAGGCCAACCTCAGGCGCCAGTTCCAAGCTTGACAATATCAGGGATAAGTCTCCGCTCCATGCCTGCGTGTGGCCCCACACAACTCTGTCCCCTTTGAGACTCGGATCTGGCTTCCTGTAAGGCCGTTAGGACCGGCTCCTCTGAGAACCACCCGGCACTCTCTCCGTGGCCCGGGCTCCTGGGGTGGTCCAGGTGCCCCTGGGCACGCACATGAACTGCATAATGGGGTGCAAGCCCTGAGACCAGCCGCGGTCCCATGTATGACCCAACCAGCGACCAGCACAGAAGGGAGTCTCTGTCCCTCAGAGACGGACGGCACTCTGACGGGGAGGCCCAGGCGAGCTGGCTTCCCGTGCACGATGGAGGGAACAGCTTGCAGCAGCCCGAGGCCCACAGGGCTCGGGGACGCAACACGGCCCTCGGTGGCTTGCATTCTCGAGATTCAAAACCCTTCTGTCCCCCCGGGTTAGCTTTGTGAAAATCAAGGATGAGGTCTGAGCCCCACGTCCCAGCTGGAGCGGAAGAGACGAGCCAGGACCCTAGAGTGGGGAGGGGCATGGGTGGAGCTGACCGTGAGCCAGCAGCCCCCCACGGGGGCAGAAGCCCGAGTCCATCCGTGATTCCTCCCTGCTTCTGTGGTTTCCTCTGCCCCTCCGACTGGAGTCCCGTCGAGGATGGGACTGTCCCTCCCTCGCAGCGACCGCACAGACACCCACCTCGCCTGCTATCTGGGCAAACAGCCTCCTGAACCCGTCCTCGATGTCGTCCTCACTGACGTCTATCTGGAAGGGGAGGTGGGCGTGGGAGGCGGTCAGAGCCAGGAGGGGGCCTCCCCGCCTGCCCCGCCTCCTGCGGCCCTGAGGGCCAAGGCACGGGCCTGACACAAAGGACAGTGAAGAACGAAGGAAGACTTTTCTAGAGAAAACACGAGAGGGATGGAAACTGTGTGGGAGGGGTTAGTGAGCTCCTCATGGGGTCTTCTCTGACCCGAGACCAGAACGGCCCTCTCTGGTCTATGCTAGTGGGGATTCAGAACCAGAACCTAGCCAGAATGTTCTAGAAGGCCTGCGACAGCGGCCCTCTGGGACTCTTCGGTCTCTCCCTGGGAACTCAGGACAAGCACAGTGCGGCGACTGAGAAGCCGAGAGTTATCAGGTCCAGGAGAGTGGGAGAGCCTCCCTCGACTCTGGATTTCTTGTGGGTGGGCCTCGTTGGAGACCCCGAGCCCTCCGGAGTCACTATTTCAACAGCACCTCTTGGAGCCCTCGAGCCTCAAGAACCTTGTCGCCCAGCGTTTTCATTTTACGAATTAGGAAACTGAGGCCCAGGAAGGGGAGTCATGGGAACCCCGAGTCCTGCGCAGCAGAGGTGAGGGCCGCACCGTGGCCAGCGCGTGCGCTGAGGCAGAGCCTCGTCTGGAGCTGTGGGCACAAGGTCGTGGGGCCACCTAAACCCTGGTGAGCCTGTGTTGTTGCTCTGGGCCCTGGGTCATGTGGGGCAGAGCAGGGGGATCTGGGGACTGCACGCACCTCGTCAAGGTTGGCCTCGATCTCGTCATCGACAACCCTGGAGACAGAAGGAAATCGTGTCACCGAGGTTATCTGCACCCAGTGCCGCGTGCAGGGCCAGTCCTTCTCTGCAGTGAGGGGACTTCAGCTTCGGAGGGTCCTTCCTGGTCCCTGGGATCCCACACAAGGCCACCAAGGGTCCAGTCTGCCGCGCCCGGGTCTCACCAAAGCCAGCAGGCCCACGGCTGGGCTGAGCCGGCCGGTCGGGCACACGGTCCTGGGTCTTTGACGGGAGCATGCAGCAGTGGCCGTGTCCCCTGCTTCCCATCTGCTCAAAGCCCCTGTGGTCTTTCAGTAAAGTCTCTTTTAGCTAAGCTGCCCTAGCCGGACTATGTCTCCTGCAATCAAGCGCCCCAACGAATAGACTTGGTCGAGACGGCGGCCAAAGCGCGAGAGGCCGCTGCAACGAGAGGCCGTCCTGACGGTGGCATCAGCTGGAAAGGGCCCAGTGGGGTCCAGTGACCACTCAGGCCGTCACACCCTGGCGCTCCCAGGCGCTGGGCAGGAGAGGGGGACACCTGCGTGGCCCAGGCTCTGCCCCTGACAGGACCGAGAAGGCCAGGTTCCCAGTCCGTGTCGTTACGATGAACTGGACGACCCGATGTTGCAGACACACAACTGTGCTCAAACCGCAGAGACCCCGAGTGACAACACTCCAGTCCTTCACGACCCCACCTCCCCTGCTAACCCTGGAAGCTGGCAGGTGTCACAGAATGAGACACGCTCAGAGGACGCGGTGATCCAAGGGTCAGGGAGAGGCCTGCGGGGACAGGGAGGGTGGGGCGGGCAGGCCACCTACTGGTAGTCGGCTTTCTTCTCCGAGAAGACGCGCACGCAGAAGTCCCCGTCCTTGTTGGGCTCGAAGGTGGACGGCACCAGGATGTACTCTCCCGGGGGCAGCTTGAAGCGGTTGAGCACCTCACGCAGGTTGATGAAGGTGTCGGACCGCTCCCTCGCTCGGTGCGTCAGGAAGAAGTTTTTGCTGAGGTGGATGTTGGTCTGTCCATACATCTGATGGACAAACAGAAACGGGGGGGGGAGTCAAGGGCAGAGCGTCTGGGTCGCTCCAGATCAGGAGAACGAAGGGTCCGGGGGGACTCAGAGGCGCGTGCACCAGGGGGCCCCACGTGTGCCCAGCTCTGCAGAGACGCCCCATCTGCACATGGAGACCCTTGGCGTTCCTCACGGTGACTCGGGGCGTGCGTGGTGCGTGACACACAGACGGAGGTGAGGACAGGGCCCGACCGGGGATGGCAGCCCAGCTCAGCTGTGGTCAGTGTGACCACAGCAGGGCCAGGACCCGCAAGCGGCACTGCCTGACCACGTGGAGCGTACCGCCGGGGGCCAGAGTGCCCTGCGTGCCCCCCCGTACAGCTGCGGCCCTGACGGACCCGCTAACACCAGCTGTGGGCCTACTGCGTGCTCTCAGCCCTTCACCTCGTCCCTAGGGTCCCACGAGGTGGATGGTTGGTCAGTTTTACGGAAGAAGCAGCCGAGGTCCAGAGAGGACCCGTAGCTTGTCTAAGGTCACACAGCCTGCAAAGGGCAGAGTTGGGAACTGGGTCCAGGCCTCCCTCTGCTCCCACGCCATCTCACAGACCGGGCGGTTCCTCGTTGCCCTCAGGCTTGTTTTAGGAGATCTGCTGGACTCTGCGAAGAGCCTCCTGCGGTCCTGGGACCTCACATCGTCTGCCCAGAACTAAACCGTGCACAGGCCCCGTGGGGATTGCCCGGGAGACCCGGCCCTGAGCTCTGACCAGCAGGGCCTGGGACCCGAGCCGCCTCACCAGGGCCCAGAGGGCATGGGGCCTCATCCTTCGCAGGCACCAGCCCCTGCCCAGGCCTCACATGACCCCCAAGCCAGCGGTCTAAGCCTTGTGCCCGTTGGGGACCCTGCGCCAACGTCTGCAGCCGTACCTCCTCTGGGACCTGCAGGGAGAGAGGAGAACGCGCGTTGCTCAGCTGTGGGGCGGCCGCAGAAAGGCCTCACCACGGTTGCTGGGTCAGGAGCTTTGTTTTCAGCGTGGGCACCGAACGTGGGGTCCACCCATCAGACCCCAGCCAAGTGGCTCTGGTCGGTGCTGCAGGGACGAGTGGGGAGGGTGCAGGGGTCCAGCCCCAGACGGGTGGGGGCAGCTACCCTCTGCCTGGGGCCGAGCTGGGCTTTCTTGAATGTGGCTCAAAATGAAAGGACGTGCAGGAGTGAGTGTGCGGAGTCCGTGCTCCCTGTCCCGAGCTGCTCCCAGGCCCCACACTGGGCTGGGCTCCTCCCAGCCAGACACTGGAGCAGTTCCTGCCCTCACGGTATTCCCAGATGGGGCCCAGGAAGCTCTGTTCTTGATTAAGTCTCCTCTGTTCCAAGGAGAGTGGTGCCAGGCCTGGGGGGTCTCAGGAGACGCAGGAGGCCCCTACAAAGAGCGGACTATCTGGGAAGCTGTGGCGGCCCAGGCAATGGCTTGGCACCTGTGGGGACCTCGCGACTTCTCCCAAGACTGGCCGGGCCCGGTGGCCGGCTCTCGTGAAAGCTTCGCTTTTCCGTGGCCGAGCTCCCTGTCTGGGGTCCCACCTCCCGTCCTGCCTCCAGGGCTGAGACGCGCGAAGGAGGGAAGGGGGCAGTCCCACTGCTGTGCCGCCTGCACCTCATAGATGCCAAAGCCGATGGTGTGCATGTCCTCGCCCATCTTCCTTTGCCTTCGCCGGTGCTTCTGGATGAGACCCACCAGGAAGGTGCAGCCGCTCTCCCCGTTCTCCTGGTCCTCGTCCTCCTCCTCCAGCTTGATCAGGTACTGAGGGTTCATCCAGAAAGTGTCTGCGCCCAGAAAGGGGCCGGACCCCGTCACTCCGGAGCGGGAGGCCTGTGGGAGCCCTACCCCAGGGCGCTGGTGTGCAGGGGCGGGGGACCCCATGCCCTCCCCACTTCCGAAACCCATTTACAGGAAGGACCTGAGATTCATTCACGTTTAAGGGTAATCGTGCTGACTGCCTCCCTCTCTAATGGGATAAAAAACTCTGTTGGGGAAAGAAAGGCACCGTCCAGTGCAGCGCTCTGTGCAGCCCTGGCTGCCTGTTCTTGTCAATAAAGTTTAGGAACACAGCCGTATCCATTCATTTAACTGCCTTCGGGCTCCAGCCGGGATCGTGACAGAAACTGACGGCTCGTGAAGCCCCAGATATTTGCCATCTGGCCCTTGAGAGAGTTTGCCGACCCCTGATCTAGCGGGTGGGGGAGAGATTCTTGTCTGGGGCAGAGCGGCTTCCCGGCACCTCTGGAACCACCATTTGGTGGCCGCACGCTTGAGGTGAAGGGTTAGAAGCTCCGGGGCTGGAGGGACCTGTCCTCTCGCCCGACGACCTGCTCTGCGGCCTAGGATGCCGCCGGGACCCTCAGGTCCCTCATCCGCAGCAGAGGATCCACACGTGACCCAGACTTGCCACCACAGAGTCCTTCCAGACCAGCTCCACGGCCAGACTGTGCGCTCAAGTCCCCGTGAGCTCGCGGCCTCGGGCAGCTCACTCAACCTCTGCAGGCCGGAGCCCCTCATCTCAAAGATGCAGCTGACGCATCTTTGTGTCGTGGAGGCCGAAGGACTGGCCTCTAGAAACCCCTCGGGACAGTCCCTCGGGCCCAACGTGCGGGATCACGTGGACTCCGTTTCTGGGGCGCTAGGGGAGGGGCCCCGGACCACAAGGCAGAAGGGTCGCGGGATCGCGGAGGGAGGGGCCTGGAGTGTGGGCAGCGGTTAGGGCCCGTGGGTGAGGTCCCTGCGGGGCCCGGCTGCCTGGGCTGCCCGTGGTCAGAGTGGCCGTGGACAGAGTGGCCACGGGCGTGAGCTGGGACCGGGCACGGCGGGGCCTTACTCGGGTAGTTTCGGCAGCCTCCCGCGGTGGAGCCCCGTCTCCAGTTCCCGTCCGTCTTGGTGAGTTTCCACTTCTTGTAGGATTCGCTGGTGAGGGTGTCGGGGGTCAGGTTGCAAATCTCTAGGCGGGAGTAGTGTCTCAGGAAGTCGCTGAAAGACATCCTGGCAGAGGCGAGGACATGGGCACCCAGGTTACAAGATGACCCCCGGACACACCTTGACCTTCCGCCAAGGCCAGACGGGGAGCCGCGGAGGCTGGGCGGAGCCGCGAGCCAGGCGGCGCGGACACAGGTGGGGCGGCCACGCAGCCGCGGCCCAACCCTGTTCTCCTTAGTGTTGGGATGATCCTAGCAGCTGGGAGAACAGCCCCTTCTCTCCCGTGGGATCTGAACGGGCTTCTCTGTGAAGCTACTCAGCTTCGAAACCCCGCTGTTGAGAGGGGCAAATGGGGAAGGTGCACGAACAGTTTCATTCAGGCTCTTCCAGTGGATTTAGGAGAACAGAAGCAGCTCCCACGCCCCCGTGCCCCCGGCAGGATCATCTGGCTCAGCTCCCGGTAGAGCCCCTGGGCAGACCCCCTCCCTGAGCCCTGACGGCCTTACCAGAACTCCCCGTCCTCCTGCCGTTGGGTCAGCCGCTCCCTCACCTCGGGGTCCACAGTGTTCCAGTTGGGGCAGCTGGAGACCAGGGGACAGGATGGGTGTTAGAAGAAGCCGGCGCCGGCAAGGGTGCAGGCCCGGGGACACGCTCCGGTGCCTCGGAGGGCCCAGACTGCCCTGCGGGGAGCGGCGCTCGTAGCCGTGGGCAGGGTGGGGAGGGCAGAAAGAATGCGGCCCGTCGGAGGGAGAAGGGTAGTGCAGGCGGCCCACCCCTGGCAGCTCTCGTAAGGGGAACCGAGAGTCCCCCGAGTGGCTGAGCTGGAGGCACCCGACCTGGCCGCGCCCCCCTCCCCACCGCCCCGGGAAGGCCAGGCCAGCAGCAGACCACGTCGGAGACAGCGTGCACTGCAAGCTGATGGAAGGGGCCCGACTGGCTAGAGGGGCACCTGCCGCGAGCGCCCCCAGGGCGGGGACCTTACCCCCCAGCATGGCCGCGAGCCTTGGGCCCTCCTCCCTCCTGGCCCCCCAGAACCTCCTGGGGAGGGCACCCTGCTCACCCGTCACTCCACTTCCCGGTCCACTCCACCTCTCCCCAGGGGTTGCGTATGCGGATCAGCTTCTGCAGGCTTCCCCCACTCTCGACCTGAAGACGGGGAATGGGGAGCAGAGGGGGAGATGGGGGTTCAAGCCACGCCCAAAGCCCCTTCTCCACGAGCCAGGAGGGGTCGGGTCCGTGTTACACGAGGGGTCACGAAAGGGAGAAGGGCTGGACCCCAGGCCCCTCACGGCTGCTGAACGCGGACCGCTCCCAGGGTCCGGCCCTCGGGGGACGCCGTGAGCCTGAGGCGCCCACGCACGGTGCCCCCGAGCCTCCTGACTAGCGAAGGCCGTGCTGCTCTCTCGGAGCTCAGGGAAGCCTTGCCCTCTGCCGCAGGAAGTGTGCGGACGAGACGTGGACGCCCTGCCCGCATCTCCGTGAGTCCTGGGTGGCGGGTGGTGCTACGGAGGACGCGTGGCACTGGGAAGGGGTAACCGCGGACACCGCGTCAGTGACACAGCGCCCTCCCTCCGGGGGACGTGTTTAGGAGCAAAGTGTGGGCTCTGCGACTCTTGGCTCGCAGACCCAGGACAGTCTGGGAAACCACATTTGATGTTTACCATTATACTGTTCTCCCAGCGTTTCCATAAACTTGAGCTTTTTCAAAATAAAAAGATGCATGTATGTCGGGGGTGGGCGGAGAATGAAGTGAAAACTGGAGCTTGAAAACACCACCGCAAGCCCCAGGCGTGTCAGAAGACGCGGGGCTCCGTGCTGGGTGTGAGGTCGGCTGCTCACCCGCCCGTGTGGTGTTCACGGCGGCAGCAGCAGCGACGCGCGGGTGTGCACCTGCCCCAGGCCGAGCGCGTCGCACCGGGGGCCAGCCCCGGGGGGCGCTGTCCCCGTCTGACTTGAGGGCACTCCGGGGCGGAGTGTTTGAGGAACGCGCCCGGCCAGGCAGGCAGCTGGTGAGAGGTGGTCAGACCAGGAATTCGGGCGCTGACGCTATTGCGAGGTCAAACGAGAAAGCACTTTGTGCAGAGACTCCACCCTGTGCGGCCGCGACCCGTTTTCGAGTTTCTCGCCGGTCCCTTAGAGCGGGGCGATTGCGAGCCAAGCGCAGGGATAGGCCCGAAGCCGGCCTTACCTCCTCGGCCCCGGTGACGGAGTACGCATGCCCCTTCACCAGCTTCTGGAACGTGATGGCCTCGGAGTCTGCCAGGCTGGTGATCTGCAAACACAGGAGGAGTCGGGCCTCTGGACGCAGCCTCGCTCGGCCTCGCCCTGCCCCCTCCCATCCACTGGGCCCCTGCGGCGGCTCTCAGATGGCGGGGACAGCCCAACCAGCGGACGGGCATTCACGACCCTCTGTAGGACCCTGGGGCGGGGCTGCTGGCCCCGGGCTCGGCACAGACCCCGGGGCGGCATCGGGTGGCCCGGGAGCCCGTGGTCCGGGCCAGCCCCTTTGCGGGGTTCCCCGAGGACGGTTCTGTGTGTGGCTGCCTGCAGGATTTGCTCCTGCTCTATCAGAACTTCCTCGGGGTCCCCCCGTCCCCCCGACCGCAGGGAGGAAGGGAGGCTGGTAGGTCTGTCTCAGTCAATGGGAAGAAGGGCTGAGGGCAGGGTCTGCAGAACAAGCCAGAATCCCTGCCTGGAGTCTGGTAGAGAGAAGACCACAGGCTGAGCCCCAGCCCGGGCCTAACGCACAATCCCAGTGCAGTTTCAGCCTCCCCAGAAACCGGCTTGGCCCACACGTCTCCACCCCCGGAGACGGGGTCGCCCGCAGGATGAGACCCTCCCCCAAGGAACACGGGGGCCTCCCAGGAGCAGACGTCCCGCCCCACCCTCTCCTTGCTGGACGGGGTGCCCCCCGCTTCACGAATCACCTAATAAAGCCAATTACATCTTCATGTTTACTAGGTTGAGTTTTGTTTTTCAGCACATCGGACAGAGACTCCAGCCCCAAGAGTTGGGGCTTCTCTCTCTGTCCCCAGGGAGAATGCGTCCCGGGTGGCACAGGGCTCAGGAGTGGGCTCAGCCTCTGTCTGGAGGAGGCCTGGGGACAGGATGGGGTGCGGATCTCCCTGCTTCCGGGGAAGCCTGCAGGCAAGGCCACCATAAGGAAACAGCCCCTCCAAAGCCTCCCACAGGCCCGCGGACGCGGCAGCCGAGAAGAGGAAAGCTGCCGGGCTCCAGGCCACGCGGACAACCTGGGGGCAGGTGTCTGCACGGGGTCCCTCCCCCGGGACCAGCAGAGGGCAGGGGACTTGCGGAACTTGTGGTTGGGGCTGATGATTCACAGGAGGTGCCCTCGCCCCACCAGCTGTCCCCCACACCGCCTGGCTGTTGCTGGCCACCCCTCGGTTCCAGGTGACGCCCAGCGTGGTGGACAGGAAAAGGCTCGCGCCCGCTAGACCACACGACTCACATCGATGGAGCAACCGAGGAGGGAGCCTTTCTGCAGAGCCTTCTGGATGATCCTGAACAGGTTGGGAGGAGCCTTCCTGAGCTCGTACCACTCGGCGATGCCCCCCGTGAAGTCCTCAAAGCCCTCGGTGGTGGCGCCCCCCGAGAGTGCTTCGTAACAGCCGTTGACCCTGAGGGGGGACAGATGCTGCTGCTGCTTCTCGAGGTGCCCCCCACCCGACCCTGACCCCATGCCTCCTTGGCTGGGGGCTCCAGGGACCCTCCCCGCAGATACCCCGGGGCCTGGGCTCCGGCAAATCTCCTACAGTCTGACAGGTGGAAGGCCCTGGGAGGTCATCTGGCCCGACCTCCCGTACTGTTTCTGCGTCCTGACAGCAAAGAGCCGTGCGGCCCACCGGCTGTTTGGCATTTACAGCTTAGAAAAGACAGCAACTCGCTAATGAAAGCGGTTCTACACGCAGTACGTCCCGTGGCTTCTAGCTGGGCGACGGGGCAAGTGATGGAGACGTGGCTCCTGGACCCCAGACTCTCACAGCTGGCCGTGGGGAGCCTGGCCCTCCTCCCTGGCAGCGGCTGCGAGGGACAGAAATCTCTGGATGCAGGAGAGCCCGGGCGGCCCTGGCGGGGGGAGGGGGGCCTGCGGGGAGGGTGTGGGGGGCTGCCGCGGAGCTCACGGAGGATGGGCAGCCAGGGTGGGAAACCACTGCTAATCGCACACCCCACACTCTGCACAAGTTCCCGAGCTTTTCATCCCTCTGCAGGAAAAACTCTGTTGCCTTTAGCTGACAAAAACGTCCCCGACCTGCCAAGGAGGCGGAGGTCGTTCTCAAGGTCAGCTGTCCGCGCCACAGCCGTTCCTGTGCGTGCGGCTAACATGGCCAACATGGCGAGCACGGTCACTGACCAGGGCACAGTGTGGCCAGGCAACTCCCATGCATGCACTCCTTGCATTCGGACCCCACTTCTGGCCAGAGTCGTCCTTGACCCCCACCTGCCTCTTCCAGAACCCGGGCTGCCCGAGGGGAGGCCGCGGTCACTCACTTGGCGTAGGCCTTCTCCAGCAGTGCGCTCCAGAACTCTCTGCCCTCCGCGGAGTGCACGAACAGTAGCTCTCCGTCCTTGGTGGGCAGCCTGTCGTCCACGACCACGTCCACCCACTCGCCGTACTGCCAGAACTGCGGGGCAGGGGACACGGGGAGGGCTGGGGGAGGAGCCGGCGGCCGCACGGGAACCCCCGGCCTCCGTGGGCCCATCCTGGGAGGAGACGCTCCCACCCCTCCTCCGACTGGCCGGTCCTCACTGAGAAGCTGAGGGCAGAGGCACCTGTCCTTCCCTCCAAGCGCACACCCACGTCTCAAGCACTCTGCCCAAGTCTCTGTCTCTCAAGAATACTACTTCTCATTTACCGGCATGAAAGGTGAGCAGTACCTCACCATTTGTCTCAGACCCCCCAAAATAGGCTTTTCTAAACTTGGGAATGACCTGCTGAGTGCCTATACTCCCTCCCTCCTTGCTCGTCCCGAGAGGCTCCCCGCTGCTATCCTGGCAGGGTCCCCCATCAGGGGCAGGCCAGGGAGCTTCCTGCAGCCTCTCCGAGTCCTCGGCAGAACGGCACGGTCCTAAGAGTCTGCAAACCCCAGGGTCTGATATACTTCGCCAAGACAGGGGACCTGTTCTAGCCTCTGGGACCTGTTCCTAGCTCCTAGGACCTGTTCTTAGCCACCCCCCCCAGGAACTCTTCTAGCCCTCAGGACCTATCCTTGGACCCCCAGGTTCTGCCCTTGGCCCCCAGGACCTGCCCTTACCCCCCCAGGACCTGCCCTTATCCCCCCAGGACCTGTCCTTACCCTCCCAGGACCTCTCCCTGGCCCCCCAGGACCTGCCCTTGGCCCCCCAGGACCTGTCCCTGGCCCCCCAGGATCTGTTCTAGCCCCCACAGGAGCTGTCCCTGGCCCCCCCAGGACCTGTCCTAACCCCCCCAGGACCTGTCCCTGGCTTTCCAGGACCTGTCCATAGCCCCCCAGGTCCTGCCCTTGGCCCCCCAGGACCCATCCTTACCCCACCAGGACCCGTCCCTGGCCCCCAAGGCCCTGTCCCTCATCCCCCAGGTCCTGTCCCTGGCCCCCCAGGACCTGTCCTTAACCCCCCCAGGACCTGTCCTTGGCCCCCCAGGACCTGTTCTAGCCCCCACAGGAGCTGTCCCTGACCCCCCAGGACCTGTCCCTACCCCCCCAGGACCCGCTGGGGAGAAGCTGGAGCCGACACGACGTTACCTGGAAGTGGAAGATCCCCGCATAGCTGTCCTGGAAGCTCTGCTCTAGGGGCACGACGCGAGCCAGGACCTCTTCACTCAAGGTGAGGGAGGCAATGGCCGCCAGTAGCCAGCAGTCACCTGCAAACACAGCACGCAGCTCCAAGCAGGGGTCTCACCCTGTCCTGCCCCGGGTGCTGGAAGCTGAGGAGGAGCCCCCGCACGATGGGCGGGTCGGAGGGCTGGTGACATCTTTAGTGCGGGGGGGGGGGACCTGCTCGGAGGCGGGAGGATCCACTCTTGGGAAGACCCGTGAGAGCCGCGCTGTCCTCCCGGCCCGGCCACCCACCTGGCCCACAGAGGGCGCGGCGGAATGACGAGGCGCCCACACTTCTGGGAGTGCGGGGTGTGCAGGTGAGCTCAGGCGAGCTGGGGACCAGAGGATGTGGCAGCGCGGGTGGGACGCGGTCAGTGGGAGGAGGGTGCAGAGGCCGCCGGCAGGCCCCACGTAGGCTGCCCTGTGCGTCCCGCACGGGGCAAGCACGGGTCCCAGGGTCAGAGACGGCGGGTGGCCGGGCTGCCCCCCAGGGGCGAGGGCACATGGACGGTCCCTTCTGGGGGTGGGAGGGCACCGTGCAGGGGCACAAGAACCCGGTCGGACGGGCCCCTCCCCGAGCTGCCGTGTCTCCTGCGGCTCACGGGTGGCTGAGCTGTAAAGTATGTAAAGCACTCACAAGCCCGCGGCAGGTGACCAGCATCTTACGTGGTCAGAAGCGAGCCGCTGTCAGCAACAGCGCATCGAGGGGGCTCATGTTCACCTCTAAGGGCCGGGGCCCGACTGAGGCTCCCGGGGGAGGCCGAGGACCTCGAGTTCGTGCTAAAGGGGCGTGCGCTTCCCACCACCTCCCACAGCACTAACAGGAAACAGCCTTGGAGGGGCTAGTTTGCATCATTGGATTTATGTTTACTGAGGACAGTTTACTGACTACTTAGCATCCTGACGGGTGGCGTGCGTGCAGCTCTCTGAGGCCCGTGTGGGGCAGCTCTGCAGGGCACCACCTGGAACCCGATGCAGGCAAACGAATCCCCTCGATCCTTCACCTGGGTGGGTGCAGGGGTGCTGGGGGTGCAGCTGTGGCTTTCTGCTCGCCTCCGGGAACCCTCTGAGAAACCAGCTGCCCGCACACTCGGTCTGTGAGGTTTCAGTTCCAGAGGCAGGCCTGTGGTCACCCAGGCATCACATTCCCCGGCCTGCAGTGGTCGGCCTGGACAAGGTTTTGTGGTCCAGCCAGAGCCCGTGAGGTGCCACGAGAGCTTTACAGGGGCCCTGCTGCCGTGGGAGGGGCAGCCTGCCTGAGAACGGGGCCATCTCAAAGGAAGAGGGGCTGGGAGATGGAAGGAGTTTAGAAACCAGGTCCTGCTGGCATCACTGGAGACCCCGAACCAAGCCCTACCTGCAGCCTGACCTGCCTTGGACTTTTCTGCCACGTGACGTGGTGACCTCAGTCTCCCCGAGTGCTAGGGTAGCACGGGCAACAGCTCTCACTTGCTGAGACCCTCCGATGTGCCAGCCACTCTCCTGGGAGCTTCGGGTCATTACCTCATCTACTCCTCCCAGCGCTCTGTCAGGAGCATGACCGTCCCTGCGTCGGAGCGGAGCAGACATGGCTCAGGAGGTTAAATGCCGGGCCAACGATTAAACAGCTACAAGGCAGTTTAACAGGTGTGATGTTTCTGTCCGCCAGATCCCAGAGACAACCTTTTGGGTCAAGTAGGCTTTGACAGGAACCAAAGTAGAGACCTTTGGCGTGTTGAGAATACGGAGCTTGCAAGGAGGCAAGCTCTTTAGCTCTCAGGGGGCAGGAGCCGAGGAGTCCCCAGCGGGGGGGGATGGAAGTCTACCCAGAGGGGCTTCCCCGTGCTGAGCCCACATGCCGCCTGGTCAATAAAACAGACGATCTTCCGGCCGTTTCTGAGCATCACGCTCTCCCGCGTGGACCGTATCATACTGTCCCGCCTGCAGGACAGGCCCACCACGTGTCTACTGTTCCTGGGCTCACGAGATCCCCTTTCCAATCCTCTCCTCCTCCCCTGACCCTGGATCCTCTCGTGGCTTTGGTCCTTCTCTGGAAGCCTGGAGATGCTTGTGATTCTTCCTCTTCTTGAGCGAATTCAAGATTTTCTGGGCATCTTGCAAAGTGCTTGGATTTGGGTCAACACGTGGAGAAGGACAGGCTTGTGGACAAAGTGGTTCAACTGTAGGATCCCAGAGACAGAGTCCTGAAGCCAGAACCCCACACCTGCTGTGCGGCCCCGGGAAGCTGTGAGCACCCTGGGAAGAGCCGCTCGGGGTGAAGGGACTGCAGCAGCAGTGGGTCCCTCGGACCTCCCCGCCGTTCGGTCTCCCAGGGTCCCAGGAGCCAGTGCTTTAACATGACGCACGTGTGTCCTGCTCTGTGGCCTCAGACGTCACGGCTGTTCCCGGGATGTGACCGGGTGCAGGAGGGATGGGGCTCTTGTTTATCGTGGGCCATACATCTAGGTCAGCGCTGGCCCCACACCCAGCACAGATGACTGCTCACCACCAGACCCAGAGGCTCCTGCCACATTCTGGAAATCAGTGGCCGTGTTCCGTGCCTTCCAGTTTTCTTCCTTCAGTGATGCCCCCGCACCCCCTGCCCTGTGCAGAGCTATCCCACTCTAACTGGTTTCCTCTGAAAGGGCGTGTCATCCTAGAATGCCTCTGGATGACGGCACTGTGGCTTTAAGCAGTCGAGTGACTTGCTTGAGGTCAGGTATCCTGAAGGGGCAGCGCAGGCGGCGGAATCCGGGTCTGCCCTGAGCCGTAGTGGGCAGGCAGTGTGTGCACAATGCTCTGCAGTTTGCAAAAAGCATGTTGCACAGTTATCTGTAACCCTTATGACACGATCACCCGGGCTGTCGTTGCCTCTGTGGACTGAGGAAATGGAAGCTCAGAGGGCACGCAGGCCAGAGGTGATCTGGTCTCCCAAGCAAATCCTCTAAATCAAGTCCTGGGCTTTGTTTAAAAACCGAACCTTGCTAGAGATTGACCCCACTAGGAATATCCAACTGCAATCCACGCTTAAAACGGAGGGGTAACACGCCGGCAGCTTCCTGAAATCCTACATTGTATCTGAACTCCCTCAGGCCATGGCTCACGGGACAGTAAAACTTGCCACCCGTCGGACGCACCGTGACTCACTGGGACGGCAGGACGTCAGCCTGTTGTCACACCGTCAAGACAGGGGCACCAAGAGCACAGCAGACAAGAGGGAACAAGACTCAGAGCGTTTTACAGCCGAAGACTCAAAACGTTTCCCGTCAGCGCTCCAAGCTGTGGGGCTGAAGGTTGGGAGGCCCCTGGAAGAGTGCGCAGATGCCTAATAAGGTAAAAGCGTCGGAAATCCCGTTTTACACTCGGATTCCTAACTCTCTCCCTCACACGGCCCATCTTGTTTCCTTACTTCCCCCGCTCCCGTGAGCGTTCTCAGCATCAGGGACTAGAATAGTGACATCATGGGGACTCACGACACAGCAGGTCCCTGGGCTTTACCAAGATCGTCCTCTCGTTTCGTCACAGAACAAACAGGCAGGTGCTGTCGGCCTCTGTCACAGCAGTGGACAGGAGGCCGAGGGAGGCTGGTGGCCTCCTGAAGTCCCCGTAACGAGCCACCGTCAGGTGGGTCTGAGCAAAGCTTTTAACGTGTGACCCACATGGTCTCCTTTGCGAACAGGTGCCAATTTCCAAGGCATCTAACTCACAGGATGTTGTCGTGGGGACTTCTGTCCTTGAGGGGGGGACCTGATTGTCTCTGTGTCTGGCTGCATGGTGCTCACTAGCACATGGATGCCACGTCCATGTGGGGCCTTCTCCTCCCTGGGAAACCTGTCCCACAACCTCCCGTTGCAGCCTCGGATCCTCTGTCCTCCCCATCAAGGTCAGCCTCTCCCTTCCCCCAAATGATTCACAACCGCCCTTCTCCTCTGGACAGTCCTGCAGGAACTTAACTCCTGCAGAGGTGAGGTGGGTGGAGAAGTCCTGGGAACCTCCCCCAGGCAGAGCCTGTTTGGGTCAGTGGCATCAGGATCTGGGCACAACCAGCTGGCTGGGTCAGGACAGGTGAGATGGCAATGCACCTGTCCACTGCTCTACTGGTTTAGCCCCAGGAAAGCCTGAGAGGGTGTCTTTCAGTGACAAGGACTGTCCAGGAAAGCTGCCATACAGATGGGCTTGGAAAGATGCAGATGTGTAGTTCTATACGTTATTTATTTATTTATTTATTTATTTTTAAGATTTTTTATGTATTTATTTGACAGAGAGGGACATAGCGAGAGCAGGAACACAAGCAGGGGGAGTGGGAGAGGGAGAAGCAGGCTTCCTGCTGAGCAGGGAGCCCGATGTGGGACTCGATCCCAGGACCCTGGGATCATGACCTGAGCCGAAGGCAGACGCTTAACGACTGAGCCACCCAGGCGCCCTCTATAGGTTTTTTAATTACCTGTCCGCAAGAGAGAGGTGAGGGTGGGCGACCACCCGGACCATGCAGGACTGTCCCTGAGCAGTGCACCACAAAGCCCCTGCGGGGTGCAGAGTCTGCTTACACTCGGTCACCATTAATGAACTCGTCTTCACTTAGTCCATTTGTCTCAGAGCAGAGATGATGGTGGTGGGGACATGCGTGCCTCCCCACGTCCAGCGCACACCTTCATCCTGCCCTCTGCCCTGGGGCTGGCCTCCCTGGACAAAACTGTGGGCTCCCAGAGCCTCTGGCTGCTGGTGAGTTCAGCCAATGGGAGCCCTGGGGAGCACAGGAAGGGAGGAGGAGGGTGTGGTGAGAGTATTTCTTCCTGGGCTTGGCTTGAGCTGTGCCCCTTGACCCCGGGCACTGCTCCCTCGAGGTGGCATCTGGGCATGACCCACTTATGCCCAGTTCTTGAGTCCTGACACCAGCTCCACCTCCTAAATCAGGGCCTCTCCTGCCAGGGATCTGGTGCTACTTCCTCACCAGGTCACAGAAGGCTTCCAACACACGGTGTGTATGGCCAAGAGTGTTCAAGACTTGGCTGACTACAGTCTATCCCTCATCAGCTGTTCACCCTTAGCTAACTCCAAGGGTAACATCCTGCATGGAGAAGCTCGGATAATCATTTATC